ACCATCTTTAAGAGTTATAGAGTTTTAAATGATCTGATCGTGCAACTCCTAGAGGCAGAAACTGTTACCAGAGCCAAAAGATAAACCAGAGGACATTGCCTGTAACTGTTTCTTCAGGAAATCCCTGTGATCAGCTGTTCCATGGAACAGGCAATGCACCACAAACCATCTCCATCACTCAGGCAGCACTGAGCAGGCTCAGCAAGAGACACACAATGCAAACTCCTGCCAGCAAATGAAGTTCTGACATAACTCTCTAAAAATTTATCATTATTAACACAAGATGAAACTAGCTACCACCATTCCAAGAATCAAATTGAAAAAACCAGCTATTAAACTCCAGCAATCAGCACTCTCCTCCACACCTTACAAGCCCCCAGTAAAGCCACTGTGCCAAAACTTGTAACTTAATTTGTAAGCTCAATTGAAATTAATCTAGATGCTGCACAGTGAGCAAAAAAGCCTTCTTCTTCCTTCTGGAGTACAACCAAACATGGAAGAAAGGCTGGAATTCAGCAGCACACTGGTAAGAGATAGAAAAACCTGTGACAAAGGCTGCAAGAGAAGGAACACTGCAGGAGCTCTTGCTTTTCTAGACTGGAAATTAATTTGTTGTGCGCGTCCACGCTCATCCATTTTCTGAACACTAAAAATAAAGACTTTCTGACAACTCACACGCACATGTGCAAATATGCTCTGAGAAAACGCCTTCTCCAAAGGCTTTGGTAGCAACAGGGAGAGGCACCTTTTTGGCTCCCTGGACACACAAAAGGATTTGGGGCCACTTCTTCCCACCACAGAAAGACCTTTCCCACCCAGGGAAAGCAAGTTCTGGCATGTAATTCTGTATTAGCACGCTGGATTCTCCCTGCACTTGGCTTAATTAAAAGAGGACTAATTTAGCCTTTGGTTGTTCCAGAAGGTGCAAGGGCAAAGCCTACTTCTCTACAAAAACAAAGTGAGTAACTTCAATTTTCTAGGTCTGCTGTTAACACTGAAGACTATCCAATGGGAAACCTGCAGCCAAACTCTTGCCTTGACTCAAAATTGTTTTCCATCCAGCACACATTTTATTCACCACTCACATGAAATAAATTGCCATAATATGATGCAGCCATTACACAGGCAGGAGCTGGACAGCCTGCTTTAGAAACCACCTCCCTATAAATGGTAATATTAATTAAAAAATAGAACTCAGTAAGGAGGACATAACCTAAATCTCAGAACTAAACTCTGTGGAAAATTAAAATTATTCAAGTTGTAACCTTCCAAATGTGAGTCTGTGGTGGTACCAAGTCCACAAAGAACTCCAAGCTTCCCTTCTGCTCTTCAGCCTCCTAAAGCAGCAGCATGAAATGGGTAATAAAATCATTTGTCCAGAACAGTGTGAGCACAGGAGCAGGTAAGAGTTGTGCCAGGCTTAGGTCACTGTTTCTCTACTGGACTCCTAACCAGAAAATATCCATGAAACACTGATCCCATTACCACATCAACAATCCCACTTCTCATCAATCCTTCCTACTAATATGTAAGTTTGGCACCTTGATGGCAAAAGGGGCCAAAAACCAGCTTGGAAAAACACTCTACATACAGAAACAGCACTAACACCAGCTCAAAAAGCTGCAGCCTCCTCTTCCAAGCAGTTTTTTCAGGTTCAAAGGAGAACTCCCTTTCTCCAATTACATTCTGTAAATTCCAGGGAAGTCAGCTCTTGGAAGCCCCTGGAAAGATATATCCAAGCTCAGAAAATTTATCCAAGAGCTATATTGCAACAAATGTTTGTAGCCAGACTAAGTCAAAGCAGTCTTTCCTGATCTTAAAATCCTGTTTTGTTTTGTTTTTTTACTCTCAAGACCCTTATGGGACAGTAAGATCCAAGATTTCAACAATCTCATGCACAGAGTTTCTAAAACAGATATCTTAATGTAAGCAATCCCATAATGGAGGAACAGTGGAGGTGATAGGTCTGGTAACCCAGAAATAAATCCTTGCCTCTTCAGAAATGTGACACAAAATTAATCACACCACCACAATGTCACCCATTTGCTTCTCCTGTCTTCCCTTCCCTTATTCCTCTCAGAGGACATAAGGAAAGACAAAGAGAAAATTAGCTCTGTACAGAGAAAATGGAGAAGAACTGAAATGGAAGTATAAGGATAACGACCATTTAATAAAATTGGGAAAAGTTGGGTACATGTCCCTTTGATCAGAGCAGTTTCTTTCTCTACAACTACACAAATCTAGAACCACCTTTCAACATCCTATATACCCCCAGATTCCTACTCCAAACGCATTCCATGCTGATGAACCTAATCTGAATTACTTGAAAATACCCCAAATATCAAACACTAAATCTTTCCATGTGTCACCTTCAGGAAATGGTATTTTACCATGTCAATCCTCAGTCCCAGGTTTTCATGTTCATTCTCACATCTCACCAGCTTTGTTCAAGCAAACTGGTACCACTAACTCCCCAAGCACAAACCTCAACATGCTTAATGTCATGCAACATTCCATGATCCAATTTCCTCCACATTTGTTAGAACCTACTGCCAATTTTATTATCACTTTTCCAAAGAGCCATATTCCCAACATCCAACTCACTTTCCCTCAATCTGTGAACCCATGAGCCCTGACAAACCCAGAAAACCTGTTCTGAACCTCCCACTTGGACGTGTCTGCTTTCTCCTCCAACATCTACTCCTCACCACATTTGTCCATGCTCTGTGCCTCATTCCCTCACTGAGGCACATCACCCAGATCTTCACCTGCATGATTTTTTGCTTCTTTGCTGCAGCCAAAGCCAAGACTATGTTCCCTTCCTCAACCCTGTTTTAACTCCCCGTAGGCAGCAGCTGACTGGCCAAACTCTCTGATCTGAGTGCAGGACATGTACACCCAACTCTACCACCACAGACACTGGGAACAAGAAGACAGCAAATTTCACTAACAATAGAAATTGTGTTACCAGGCATTGACATAAATCACTAAGGGAAGGTGAAATAATGGATATTTCTCCCCACTGGCAAGATGAAAGGAAAGGATCACTGCCTATCACCAAAGATGGACATTCTCCACACTCAGGGAAAGGTCTGGACCTTACAGTAAGCCCTTCCCTGCCTGCAGTCATCAAAAGAGAACAGAGATTCCAGACAGAAAGCACAGGCAGGTCTTCTCCTGAGTGCAGAGCACTGCCTGCCCTGTACCTGGGATAGGACATCCCAATTCCAGTTTTCATCTTCCAGTTGCAGACCCTGTGTGTGTCTATACAGAGCATGTGCTGTAGGAACTGGAACATTACCATAATCCTAGTTTTAGAGCTAATTAAGGAACTGATAAAGCTTCACACTTTCCCCAAATTTTGCCTTGAGTCTTCCTAAGCTCACTGTCTCCTAGCAGAAACTTTGCCCTTTTCTACATCACACCAAAACCAGCAACCACAGGATGAGTGATTCCTCTGCCCCAGCTGATGGTGCACCCAGAATCCACCCTGGATTCACATCCAACACCCCAGTCAGCTTGCAGGATGGCACAAGCCCCAACTCTGAGTCTGAATAATTTGAGCAATTCTGTTTCAGAAAAGAGAACATGTTCAAAGAACAAAGAAATCATTCCCAGCCCCAAGCAGAAATGCTGGGTGTCCACTTGCTTTCCCTCTGAACAGCTGCCACTGTGCCCATTCCCCTCTGGCAGGTGCTCTTCCCAACCCATTTGTGGAGTGCACCCAGGATTGAGCTTCCATGAGGAGCCAGGTGAGCACATGGCACAGCCCTCTTCAGAAACACATGCCCAGTTTCAAAGCCTGGCACCGAGGGTCAGTGCAAGAGCAACTCCCCAAGGCCCCAGCCCAGGGTCAGATTTGAGTAGCACAAATCTCAAATCATCAGAGACCCCTCTCAGGGGTACCAGGGCTGGAAGTGACCCACAAAGAACATCAACTCCAACTCCTGACCCTGCACAGGACACCCCAGCAATCCCACCTTGTGCCTGAGAACACTGTCCAAATGCTCCTTGAACTGTCAGGCTTGGGGCTGTTACTACTGCCCTGGGGAGCCTGTTTCAGTCTCCATCCACTCTCTAGGAGACAAAACCTTTTCCTAATATCTAACCTAAACCACCTGCAAACAGCTCCATGTCATTGCCCCAGGTCCTGCAACTGATTACCAGAGATCACAGATCAGTTCCTGCCCCTCCACTTCGCTTGAATATTCACAATCCAAACTTTATTGGTTTTACCCAAAGCCCTCAGTATGAAAGAATTAAGTGATATGACACACATGGGGTTCCATCATCTTATCTGACCCCTCTCTTACAAACCACATTTTACCAACAGCCACACTACTCTCGGTTCCAAGGCACAATTAACTAAATTACAGCAGGAGCAAGACTGACCACCACTGCTTCCACAGACTGATGTGGAAAGCCGTGAGAACGACCTTCCCTTCTACCCAGAAAGGCCCAGAACGGAGTCCCTGCGCAGCCGGGGGTGGAAACGAGCACCAACAAGCCTTTCCATGCCCCTCCGCATCTCCCCGCTTCTCCGGGCAGGGCAGGGAAGAGGCAAGATCGAGCAATTTAGGTAAATAACACCTACACGGCCCGAACGTGCGAGCTGGGAGAGCTGGGGGAGGGGACGGCTCCCGTTCCGCGGGGCCCTGCCCTTCCTGCGCGGCCGAGGGCGGCCCCGCACCGGGCTGGGGGCAGCGGGGCGGCCCCTTCGCAGCCCCTGCCCGCTCCCCCCGGGGACTCGGAGCCCCTTCAAGGGCAGCAGGCGGCGGGCCGTGCCCTTCCTGCCGCACCGGACCCGCCCGCTCTGCCCGTTCCCCCTCAGCGCTGCCGCGGCCCCACTCTCCTGAGGGGCAGCCGCGGCCCCCCGGCCCACACCGCGCCCGCTGCGGGGGGGCGGAGGAGCTCAGGAGGCGCAGCGGCGCCTCCTCCCCGCCGCCCGCTCCGCCCGCCACCGCCGCGGGGCCCCGCGTGGGCGCCGGAGCCGCCGGTACCTGGCGCGGCTGCTACCGCCGCCACCGCCGCCGCACACAGACAATATGGCGGAGGCACAAGGCTCGGCCGCCGCCGCAGGGACCAGAGCGAGGCGCGCCGGAAACGGAAACCGCGCGAGCCCCGCCACGCGCCGCGGAGGCGTGCGCAGGGAAGGGTGGAGCTCGACGCGGGGGGCCTTGGGAGTTGTAGTTCGTGATGGTGGCGGCGGTGGGGACGGGGGCTTGCTCCCGCTCCGTGTCCAGGTGTGTCCCCGTGAACCGCGGGAAGGTGGCGGGGTTCGTGTCGGCCTCCGCGGCGCCGGCGGAAGGCCCGACCGGGAGCGGTGGCCGCTTGGGCCCAGCCCCTCTGTGAGGCTGTGAGCGGGACCCGCCGCCAGGGGGCGACTGCGGCATGCGGAGGTGCCCCGGTACCGGCGCCTCTCCGGCCCTTCCCTCGGCCCTTCCACCGTCCTGTCCCGGCCCTTCCACAGCCCTGTCCCCGCCGTTCTTCGGACCTTCTCTGGTCCTTCTATCAGCCCTTTACCGGCCCTTCCACCGGCCCTGCCCCGGCCCTCCCAGACCCCGGGGCCGCCGCAGAGTGGTGGGGTCGCGCTCGGCATGAGGGGTCTTGGGTGCTGTTCATGGAAGGGATTTATCCCTCTGCTGAGCCGGCAGCCGGGCCAGCAACCAGGCCAAGCCTCCACCTATTCCAGCGCACCATGACCTTCTCTCTCTCTCTCTCTCTCTCTCTTTTTCATCTTTTTAGCCCAATTTCTTGCCGTGCAGCCCAGGACATCACTTTTCCCCCAAAGGACTGGCCAGAGTGGATGGTGCACTGACCCATTTGGTGCAGGTTGAGCTGAGGCGAGAGGAAAGGCATCCAGGTTGAGCCTGAGCACACGCAGGATCCTGGGCTCATGGCACACTCAGACCAGGACTAGCTGGGGATAGGCAACTCTGGGCTGGTTGCCGTCCTCCCACCATGTCCAGGCTCTGGCTTGAGCTGTGAGCCAGCCTGGCGGGGAGGGGGTTGTGCTGAGTTATGTCTGCACCCCTTTGACCCCCACACACACATCTCCCCATGCCTTTCAGAAGGGAGCCAGCCTGACCCCCCCCCACCCCGGCCTCATGGAAAGCTGAGCACGGCCAGGCTTCACCCCACTTCCCTCCTGGTGTGGGAGTCTCCCCCAGGGGAGGCCGCTGGCCCAAAGCTCGCAGCCCCTCACCCCGGGTCACTCCCATTAGGTAAAGGAGCAGCTCGTCCTGGCGGGGGTATCTCCCTCTCGCGCTTTCCTTGTATTGTAAGGGCCTGGGTCATCGAGGAAATCTTACAGGTCCTTCTGCTGCCGAGTGGTCACGGGGGAAGCCCAGCCCCCTTCCCCCCATTGTCAGCAGCCGGGCCGTATCCTCGCTCCAAGCCCCGGCCCCTAAAAATAGCTCTTTGTCAGGCGATTGTTCCGACACCTTCGCGGCGGCATTGACGTGGGCCGGAGCGGGAGAGCGGTGGGGTAGGTGGAGGGGAAGGGCTGGAGGTCCCCCCTGGGACCACTCTGAGGATTTGCCGCTGATAACGGCCCCTGTTGTGGGGAAATGGGCTCCCGGCGGAGGCACGGTGCCGAAGGCCTTCCCGTGCTGGCCGCTGGTCACCTCTCCCCCACCTGCCCCAGCTCTCCTGCCAGCCCCGCTGCCCACACCACCCCGGAGCATCAAGTGGGGGAAGTGTCTTCCCAGGGCATGGAGGGGATGGAGCCCTCCCAAGACCTCAGTTCAGACCCTGCAGGGTGGGGTCCAGCCCTTCCCCCCCCCCCCCAAAACCTCCTCCCTGGGGCATCCCTTCCCTGTTCACC